CAGAGGTCACTGGTGCATCTCAATTTCATGGTCACTCTCCATGGTATCACTTGCATTACTTAATAGTTCCCTACCAGACTAACTATAATATACTTGCTACCATATGAGAAGAGATATAAGAATTTTAGCTTTTGTTCTGATCTGCATAGGTGAATGAATAACTAGATTTTAAAAATGTCATTATATATATTTGTGGTTTTATTCACATCTCACAAGTTAATACAGCACATATATACCCTTTCACAAAATTCCTAGGGATAATCACCTGAAAAACATTAACTTCAACTGCCAAGCTTGCCTAATAGTGTATTGGCAATGGATTCATTATTACTAATTTTAAGAAACAACTGATCTTTAAAAATAGAATATTCCCATGAAAAGTAAAACACTATTTTTTCCCTAGAAAACATTGGATTTAAAAAAAATTATCTACCTTATCTTTGTTAGTCACATACTGGATTGACTAATTTTTAAGAAATATTCAAATAGCTGTCAATCAGTGTTTTCACTTTTCTCCCACAGAAGGCCAAGAGTATTGGACACCAAATTTGCCCTGTGCCTCAACACCTCCTAATTCTGCAGGAATCAAAAAAGCATCAAGATATGCTTAACAAAACTGTCAGTGGAAAGCCTGTCAGGATCAGGGGCTGTGGCTCAGTAGCAGAGCACCTGCTTGGCATGCAGAAGGTCCCAGGTTCAATCTCCAGCAGTTAAAAAGACCAGGTAGTAGGTGATGTGAAAGACCTCTACCTGAGACCCTGAAGAGCGGCTGCCAGTCTGACTGGGCAATACTGACTTTGGTGACCAATGGTGTGATTCAGTATAAGGCAGCTTTATTTCAGTTATAACAAAAATAAATATGACTAGGTGACCAGGGCAAATGTTCAGAAGCCACTTTATACATGCCATCATATATTGGAAGGTGTGTGTATGTATAAAAATGTGCATATATATATGTGTGTGTGTGTATATATATATATATGTATGTGTGTGTGTGTATATATATATATATATATATATATATATGTATGTGTGTGTGTGTGTATATATGTGTGTGTGTGTGTATACTTGTTATTATATATATATAATTATATATATAATAACAATAGATAGATAGATAGATAGATAGATAGATAGATAGATAGATAGATAGATAGAATTAGCCATCAACACCAGTTCTGAAGTACCTTCAGACCAAGTCCAATGCACTGGAGGATCATCATTTAACTAAAGATGTTGAGTAAATGCTGTGAGAATTCATCAACCTACACATGGTGATCCCTCACTTCCAAAAGAGGAAAGCAATGTTTCCTGGTTTAATCAACACAGAGACATACTTTCTATCAGAAACACACTAATGTAAAACTCAGTGTTCTATGAACCTCATTAAGCAATCTTCTATGTAAATCCAGTCCAGTCGAAAGAGAACTGTGTGAACTATACATAAATGCAGAAGTCACATTCCTAAATAAAATTTAGTTTTTCAATTGCAGCTGTGATTGTACAGTTAAGTCCTATCAGATCCAACAGATATTTTCTGTAATTTGCTGGACTGAAACAAGGTCTAACTAGACCACCATTTTATCTCCAAAAAGTGGCTTTCCAGATGCCTCTGGGAAGCTTAAAGACAGACCATAAAGGCAAAAGCACCCAGTGTCTGATACTCAGAGATATTGTAACTACTTAAGCTAGTATGATTAATAACTAATTGACCATCTCCATTAATTTGTGTTTTTGGGAGGGAAGCATTTTTTAGAGCTAGTCATAATGAATTGCACCAATTAACTGCATGGGCTACAACATAAAGGAGTATACACTAAGCATAACATCACTAAGACTTCTTTTAAAAAGAAGCGCAGTACTTATTTAGTATATTTCTATGCTGCCTCTTCTACTTGAGGCGGCTTACAATTAAAAACCACAACAGAAACAAGTAAATAAAACCTCTGCTAACACGCAGCTTTCTAAGTCATCTAACATCCCTATCTCAATATAAAGAGAAAAGCAATAACATTTCTGTGAGACAAGTTATCCAGCACAGGTAAAATGAAAGATTTTCAAAATACTATAACAATACAAACGTCTTCACAGCAAGCCTTAACCAAAGTTTGTACCTGTCACTGCGACCTTGACAAGTGAGCTCTTATTTATTTCATAAAGCAGGAAATAGCTTATTGTTTTTTAAAGGTGCAAATGTTTTAAATAGTGAAAATAATGTTGCACATGGAAACAAGACAAACATATAGGGAAGGGGCAGCATGGTAAACAATTAAGTATTTGATCAATTTATGTCTAAATATTTTAGTAAGCTTTTGTAAGCCCAGACTTCCTGAAAATGTATTCAATTAATCACCTCTCTCTCTGATGGGGACCCTAAGTGACATGCATTATTCTCCCCTCCTTCACGCTATCCTCACAATGACCCTGTAAGGTAGGTTAGGCTGAGAGTGTCTGACTGGCCCAAGGCCACACAACAAGCTTCCAGGGTAGAGTGGGGATTCAAGCCTGGGCTCCCATATCCTAACCCAACACTGTAATAGGCAGAACTAGAATTTTAGATATAGCTAAAGCAACCCAAATGTAGATTGTATATCAAGTTCTGACCAGGTTGGGAATGAAGTACAAAGACAAGCAGCTACAAAACCATACCAAGTTATCTCATTCATCAGCCTGACAATGTGAATACATGTAAAGCTTTTATAGCATTCAGTTTCAAAAGCTTCCTTGGAGTAATAAAGCATCACTCACATAAATCATGTGATCTTTAAAACACACTGACTTGTGTAAACACTTTGATATTTTTAGTTTCTCTATTATACTTACTGGCACGTAAAAGAGGAAATGTTATTTTTCAGGAGAATATATAATGCATCAAAAATAAGGGTTTTAAAAAAGATCTCGGTGGGTAGCCACATTGGTCTGAAGCAACAGAACAAAGTTTGAGTGCAGTGGCATCTTTAAGGCCAACAAAGTTTAATTCTTGGTATAAGCTTTCGTATGCACGCACACTTCATCAGATACATTTAGAGATCTGCTCATTATAAACAACCTGAAAGTTAAGACTACTCCTACTCAATATAAAATAGTAAAGTGATATGTGTTAATAGTCCTGAAAAAAGTTTAAATGTTCTGCCTTACATTCTCACTGCAATCAATTATCTTACAGTCTTGTGAACTAAAAAAGCTAAAGGTACATGTAGCCCAATTATTATTGTTAGAACTTTTATTCAGTTACTCATTTCACTCATTTATTCAGTTACTCATATCACAAAAGACACTGCACTATACCTATAACTGTTATAATTATCTAACATACAGCCATTTTGCATCCCTAACTATACAACAGAAAAATCCCTGAACACAAGCTATATAATACTGTGATCTCTGAAATATTTTAGTTGAATATCCCGTTTTTCCTTCCTGTCAAATATTTTTTTAAATTATACTCAGCATAATTTTATACTGTTAATAAAAGTTTGTTCACATTTCCCCCACATTAGCTCTGGTTTCTTGCTAGACGATCATACTTCTTGTGGTCCTTCCCACAGAGATGTGCTAGGTTTTTTCCCCTTAAGCAACAAAATAGTTTCTCAGCAATTCTTCTTAGAGAGCTTTGCATAAGTTACTTTGATATTGTTTTTTAAAAGCAGAATGAATTTGTCTTCCTTGGCTCTCTGTAACATCTTTATGGTTATCCTTTCTAAGAATCCAAAGGGGAGGAGGGCTGTCCCACACACCAAACAAACTGGATGTACCCTCCTCATACAAAAAAACCCTTCATATGACATGGTGAAACACAAATTCATGCTTAAACACCACAGCTACAACATCTGCAGGTTGACATAAACAATTACTTTTAAGAGCAACAGTTAGGAAGTAAAAAACCTGCCTTCTAGAGACTTTCCTCATCTTTCTCTATGTAGGACAAAAAACATTCTTGTTTTCTATCTCCATTTCATATGCCTACTTCCGTTCCAGGTACCCTTTTGTTACAGCTACCCCCTTTTCATAGATTACCAAAACACACATACACACAAAGCAAGCCCTTCCTGCCAAGCAACAAAACCAGTAACCTTCACACACGTTCTATTGATAACTATTTTGGACCCAAATACCAGATCTCATCAAAATAGAAGAACCGGGATGGTTTACATTGGCACACAGAAGACCCCAAACACACACACGAAAGTAGCTCTAAGTTAAGTCTTTTCCACTGACCGAATTACCTATCTCCTTCCACCCTAACAGAGTAGGCCTTCAACCCACCCAGTTCACAGAGCCACACAAGAACCCGCATTCCCCGGAGGTCGGCGAATCCCACGCGCACTACGAAGGGGAAGTGGAGGAGAAGCCTTCGACCTCTCCACTCGAAAACAAATCCCCCTCCTCCAAGATCTCTCGCTCGCACACGCACACTTTCCCCACAACACTGCCCCACCCACTTCCAAATTCACCTCCCTCCGCTCCCCCTCCGTGCTCGCGAAGATATTCGCTCCTTCAAACGTTCTGCACCCCTCGCGTCTTCTCTAACAGCAACGGGGTAAGGCGGGAGGCGGGGGGGGGGAGAGCGAGAGAAGGGGGAACCCAACCCACCCATTCAAACGTCCCCACCAGCACCATGTTGGCTTCGTACAGGCACCACACCCACACCAACTGTCTCTTTTCTTCTATTCTCTTCCTCCTTCCCACCCCCCGCTGCTTTTGTATGGCTTCCCTGCCTCCAGCAGCCCAGGCCTACTCCTATAACACAAAGGGAGGGAGGCAGGGACGAGCGCGCAGCCACCAGCCAGGCCCCGAGCAGCTGCAGCGTTTGCCCTCTTTTTCTCACTTATCCTCTCCTCCCCTCCCCCCCCGGGCCTAAACAATGGAACGTGGGTGAGCGTCGAGGGAAAGGGGGGGGGGAGAGCGAGAATTCCCGTTCCTCAGAATTCTCTCGCTCCTCCCCTCACGCGCTTCCCCCTCCGTTCTACCCCCCCCCAGCCCAACAGCCGAATACTCACGGGCTGGTCTGGCGGCGCTGCTGCTGCTGCTGCTCTCTGTAACGGACGCGGAGAGGGCACCTCCTCTTTCTTCTCCTCCTCCTCCGGGACCACCCTTGCCTGTAACTACCCAGCTGCCACCCTCGCCTTCACAACGCCACCGCCGCCCCTCCCCCTCCACCGCCGCCGCCGCCGCCGTGAGGAAGACTCACAACAACATGGCGAGTGAAAGAGAGAAAGAGAGGGACGGACATACACAAGAAACAGCAGCAACGGCGGCGGCAATCCGCTAGGACGCATGCGCGCCGTCAACCCATCCGTGGACGCCGGGAAAGGGGAGGAGGGGAGATGGAAGGAGGAACTGACAGAGAGAGAGCGAGCGCGCGAGAGAGACAGTGGCCACGCGCGCGCCTGCGCACCATGGTGAACCGGCAGGCGCGAGAGCGAGTTTCGCGCCTGCGTCGTAGCATCAATAGTTACCCCCCCCCAAAAAAAAGACCGAAATTATCATTAGTAGTAGTAGTAAATGTATTTATTCATCTAATTTGTACCCCGCCCTCCCCCGCAAGGCGGGCTCAGGGCGGCTTACAGACAATAAGTTAAAACAGTTAAAACACCATATTTAAATAAAATCACAACAATACAGAATAAAACATAAAAAGTGCTAGTATAATTCATAGCCGATGGCGAAGTTTTGATGATGAAGAGGAGCCTTTTTTAAAAGTGTTCTGAAAATAGTTATGCTTTAAACACAAAGAAGTTACATAGAAATGATAACATGGGTGGGGACAGCTTCCAATAACAAATACACAGAGGAGACAGGTGGGAGATAGGGCTTTTTCAGTGGTGGCACCTCACCTTGGAGTCTCACCAGTCACCCCGCGCCTGTTTTGATGTCCTTTAGATGCTAGGTCAAAACTCCACTTTATCCAGACTTTGAATAGAAGTGATCCATTATTTTTAGAGCTGATCTTCTTCTAGCCTGTGAGTTATTTTATGGATAGCATTTTAGGCTGCTTCATGTTGTTTTTAATGGCTTGTTTTCATATTGATCGTTTGAATGGGGGATGAGGTTTAACATGATCATGTTGAATTTATTTTTGCTCCTTAAGTAGGTCTCTGGAGAGGCAGTATATAAATTTTATAAGTAAATGGATAAGATTCCTATGCTTTAAAAGCTCTGTAATGGACAAAAGTTCAACTCTTTCTTCTCCTGGCAGTACAGCAATGAGGAACAATTCCAGCCTGTTGTGCAGCTATTTAAGGGGCAATAGGATGTCAAAGAATATCCCAAGATTCTCCAGGTGGGCTTCACACCTGTCACTTAGTGGAGGGCAGGGAGCTGTTCCTGTTGGCAGCAGAGAATAGGACTCAAAATAATGGGTTTGAATTAAGGACGAGAAGGTACCAGAAAAACTTTTTTACAGTAATAGTTGTTCAACAGTGGAATCAGCCACCTAGGGAGGTGGTGAGCTCCCCTCACTGGCACTCTTTAAGCAGCGGCTGGACAAACACTTGTCAGGATGTTCTAGGTTGATCCTCCATTGAGCAGGGTGTTGGACTAGATGGCCTGTTGGATCCTTTCCAACTCTGTGATTCTATGAGTTTATGGCCTGCTTTCCTGTGGGGACGGCAACCTCTGGAGGCAGTAGGTGAGCAGGGCCGGTTCCCGCACGTCCCTCCACCAACATCCTCTAAGGTCTTCCACTGCCTTCGGTTGGCCAACATAAACTGGGACTGTCAGCCCACATCCATTGGTTTAAATCCATGAACCTCCACTAGTTCCTGATTCAGCCTATCACATTCACACATTCACTCCAACATACATTCAGCCCACCCCCTAGGGATGGGCACGAATCAGAGGAGAAGAAGGCAGGTTTAATAGGGAGGAGAGGAGGAGTGGGAGGAGGAAGAGAAGGAGAAGAAAAGAAAAGACAAAGCAGAAGAGGGCAAAGGTGAAGCAGAAAAAGCAGAAGCGGAAGCAGCAGGAGAAGCAGAAACAGAAGAAGCAGGAGGAGGAGGAGGATTTGAGTCTGTGAGCCGGTTCATGCCCATCCCCACCCATCACATTCTCTCTGCATCCACTCAGTCCATCAGTAGGAATGGGCCTCTCAGCTCCGTCCATCTTAAGGGACAGGCACCCCAACCTTGTCTCTCTGAAGGGATGGGTATCCAAGCTCTGTCTACCTGAAGGGACGGGCACCCCAGCCCTGTCCCTCACAAGGGATGGGCCCCCACGCTCCATTGACCAAATGGGCCAGCACCCATGCTCCATCCAACTGAAGGGATGGGCATTTAGGATTCCATTCGGTCACCCACTCTCCCTCCATACACAGCCCCCTCCCCCAGCTGCCTGCTATGCAACCCCCGCTCTCGCTAGCTGACTGCTGCCAGCTTCTGTCAGCCAACATCATCAGGAGCTTCAGGCCATCGCATTCCACCAAGCTTCAAGGCACCAGTTACTCCCTGCTTACATTGTAAGCCCTACCACTTTTGCTGAAGAACTTGCTTTCTTGGTACCCTGGCATCCACCCGAATGTCACCCTCTTCTTTGCATCCACTCTCCTCCTGTCTTGTTGGCCTTGATATGCCAGCTTGCTCAGTCTGGTGGAGAAAGAAGGAGTAGGAATTAAAGGCCAGTCTGAGAACTCAGGGTCGTTTTTGCCTCAGCAAACTGGGCGGCAATCGGAAACACACTCATTCCTCTTTGGTGGGTTACAAGGTCATCCCTTTGTGGTATGGGATTCTCATACCATCAGGGCCGGCCTGAGGTTGTCCTGCACTCTAGGTGAGCACAGATGCCAACCTCCTGGCGGGGCCTGGAGACCTCTCCGCCAGAACCAGGCTGGGAGGAGGGTCACCCAGATTAGAGTCCTCGCCTCCGTCCCGGCCAAGCTTCCTGTCTGCGAGCCGGAGCCAGTGGAAGCGCAGAGGCGGGCGGGCCGCCCTCCCCCCCCCAGCTCAGCCGCGCCCCGCTGGCCACCAGCCTAGCCAGGGAGCAGGTAAGGCAGCCGCCCGGCCGCACCTCTCCCCCTCCCAACACCATGAGCAGCGGCAGTGGGCAGGGGGGGAGGTGTGCCCTGCCTGGCCTCCCGCCCCCCAACCACGGGCCCCCTCCCCCCGCTGCTACCCAGCCCTGCCGTGC